TGTGTGTGTGTGTGTGTGTGTGTGTACCGTCAGTCTTGTCGTCTGTCCTTCAGGTCTGTTGTGTTCAGGGAAGGGAACAGAGTCATAGACGACCCCGAGCAAACCCCGATCCTCTGAGGATGGAACCAGGTGACCAAAACCCTGAGAGAATCAAAGAGAAGGATTTTTTTCTTTCCTCCTCTTCAGAGATCTTGTGTAGCTCCCTGCCTTGGTCTCAGAGCAGGTGTAATGTGGAGCATCCAACAAAGCCCCTTCACCGGACAGAGTTTTGTGTTCCGCTCCCCAACCAGGTCTGCATATTTAGTCTCTGATTCAACCCGATGTGTTTTTTTGTCTGTGACATGACAACATCACAGTCTGTGAAAGTAAACGTTGCACGTCTTGGTAACAGCTCAATGATGGAATCTTATCACACTGCTGAGTGTCTGTCCAGCCAGGCTGCTGATAACAATGTCAGCCCGACACAGAGTATCTGAGTGGACAACAGAAGTGACAAACACTGTTGTTTCTATCCCCCCCATCTGTCAGTTCTGTGTTTAGCTCATTTTAAGACAACACTGTTTTCAGCCTCTCCCCCTCCTGCATTACTGCCAGGCTCGACTGACATACACTGACTCTGGGTCTTCTCGACTCAGACATGGACGTTTGGGGGCCAACCCCAGAAAATAGGATAATTTATGAACAGAGGCACGATATTATTGTTTGCATCGTTGGCTTTGTTGTTGGCACCTGGAAAGTGTCAGTGGGTCATCAGAATGAGAACGGCCACAATGCTACTGCCTCTCCTTCATTAGTACAGATGTCTTGGTGAAGAGAATGTGCTTGAACCTCAGACACAAACTCATGAGAGTGGAGTCATGTTCTCATCAGAGCTAAATGATAATTGTGTGTCTCTGAGTAGTTCTCACCATTACGGGCAAGATGGAACCGTCATACTCCAGATTTACCACAGCAACTGTTACCATGGCGATGTCCTGCAGCTCCTGGATGAGAGGTTGACAGGAGGAAGGCAGGGCTGACGAAAGGGCTGGGGTGACAGAGAGATGTGATGACTTCATGTTATAGTGAATATAGAGCATATTTCTAGTTGTATAATTTCAATTGATACTAAATAATTAAAAACTTGGTGAGCCATATGTAATGAGCAGAGTTTCTGCCGCTGATCAGACGACATCGGGAGCCACCACTGACCTTTAGCAGGCATAGCAGAGATGATGTGATCGGCTGATATGACTCCATCCTCCAAAGTGATCTACACACAAACACATGTTTTATGAAAGTTGCCAAATAACACCAGAGTATGAGAAGTTAACCTGTCAACTCCACTCAGATGTTTAGCAGGTAAAATACCCACCGTGGTCACCATCTTGGTTTAGCATTGTAACTTGCTAGCATTTAAAAATTAGTTTGAGACAACTAAAAACATAAACTGAGGCTGACGGGAATGTCTTTTTTTTATTTGGTTGAAAATCGAAATATTATACAAATTAATATTCTGACTTGATGACAGCAGTAGATGTAAAATATTCAAAATATTTGAACCAGTATATTGAGTAGTTGAGAAAGAGATGTGACACAACGTAACTAAAATTATGTGCAAATATCACAGCTCATCACAACTTAGTTTGGTTATTTAAATATATAATCTATTATAAACCTGAGCATCACATTCATACACATCATGATACAATCAAGCGAACACAGTTTATGATCCTCACTGACCTTCCAGCCAGAGTGTGAGGGACTGATGTGTCTAACAGCTGCGTCTCTGTGAAGCTCTACTCTCCCGCTTTGTTGAAGGTAGTCTGTGATGGATTCAGGGAGGGTCTCCACTCCTCTTCTCAGGGACCACTGGGCCCACGACTCTTTAATAGATCTCTCAGCCAGTGGGCCAGGGGGGACCACAGGAGTGGGACCTGAGGTTTTTCATACATACAACAATGCTTCAGACGAAACAAGCATCACACTTCAAGCTAATGTCACTGAGATGGACTGAAAGAGAGAGAAGATAGGTTGTGTGTGTGTGTGAGAAGCTGAACTCTAAAAGCTAAATGTGAAAGTGAAACAAAAACAGATGTCAGCAAAAGTAAAAGTGGCAAAGTGTACCTGAGCCCAGCAGCATGCCTAGTGTCAGGGAACCTCTACTCTGCTCTGCCTTGTAGAGCGGAGGAAAACAAGAGCGCACACTCAACTGCCTGCAGTCCCCTGCAAACACACCACGACACAAACTGTCCACAGCAATGTCTGCCAGCTAGACACACACAGAGGAGGAAATCAAAATAAAATAGCAAGCAATTACACATTTATTAGTCTCATAAGACAACTGGTGGCATTGACAAATATGAATCTTGAATCTAACTGAATCACATTGAAAGGACAGGTCTTAATACTCAGCGCACGAAAGAGTTGCTGTTCAAAAAATGATGTCATATAGTGTAGTAATTAAATCTGGCAACCAAAAAGGAAGAGACAGGATCTGCATGTTATTCAGATAAATCCATCCATTTGTCATCACAAGGAATCAATAACATCCTGATGACATCATTATGAAATAGAAAACAAGGCAACATACAATGTAAAAAGTGAGCACTGCCTGAATGGGGTTTATACAGCATGTGCGCAGGGTACATGCCACCCCCTTTTTTATTTTGGTTATTTTGTCTTTCTTGACAGAGACAGTGGAGGGAGAGACAGGAAAGGCTGGAGAGAGATAGAGGGAATGACATGCAGCAAAGAGGCTCAGACCAGATTAGAATCCAGGCCACTGTGACAAGGCCTTGTCACATGACACAAGTATGCACATTTTACCAGGTGTGCTACCTGTGAGCCAGGTGACAAAATGTCTTGTTCATATATATCGTATATATCGTGAACACTTCCCCTCACCTCCCTTCCAAGCCTCCGAGTAACAAATGAATGGATAGATTCATCGTCCTCCTTGCTTTTTTTCACCAGTATCTCCATGGCGACGCTCAACAGGAGGGGACGAGAGAAGGGCGGGACTGTCCGCAAAAGTCCACTGAAATGAAGAATGAAGTGGGTATTAAGACACAGAGACGTTAGGAATTGCAGTAATAGTACATGTCAAAATCACAAGGGGTGTGGTTTTAACACAGACGATGCAGAGAGTCAATACAGTGTTACACAAAGTGATGACAACACACTCAGTGGCCACTTTATTAGCTAAACCTCTGTATCCTCCTGATTTCTGCGTCCCTGTTGCTCTGGTCATCAGACCGGCCAGCTTCAGCCCCATCAACTAATCTCCGTTGTTAACAATTTAAATGTAGAGTTGCTGCACAACAGTAGCATAAAAGAAATTTTGGATCTTGTTATAAAAAGAGTATGAATTCTTAAGATAGAGCCAAACTGGTTTTGTGAGGAAACAGAGACCTTTGATCACAGAAATCACATCAGTTCATTCTTGGGTGTAAATTAAACTTTGTATCAAATTTGAGGAAATTCCTTCAGATTGTCCCTGAGATGTCGTGTTCACAAGAGAGGGACGGAACACAAACTGAAAAGGCGCAGGAGGCAGCATGAGCAGTGATTCACTGTCAAAGTGAATCTTTGGATTATCATTGAGTCAGCAGGGGTCCTTCCGACAGTTGAAAATAAAGACATCTCATTTCCTGAAGCAGCTCCCTGTAACGTCCTCACAGCATCTTACAACACATCTGATTTTACAGCAGGTCTGCAATGAAGAATAAACATGTTCTGCCATCTGTATTTACCATGTTCTCAATTCATCGCACAGTAACGTGTGGTCTGTTGTAGCTTCTCAGCATCTTTCTGGCCACTATACTGATAGTGACCGCGTCAGTCTGTGTCTCCAGATAACACTGAACACAATAGCAGAATATTCACGACACACCCATTGACAGTAGAACACATACCAGCGCTCACTGCCACCTCACAGCTAGAGGCTGTTTCATTTCCTCTTCAGGTTGTCTTTTTTTTTCAGATAATTAAACACAACAAACTTCTCCACTAACCAGAGGGTCGGTGGTTCAATCCCGGTCTCGAGCATTCTGTGTGCCAAAGTGACCTTGGGCAAGACACTGAACCCCAAATTGCCCCTGAAGGCTGTACCAGCAGTGTGTGATTGATTGTGAGTGTGGTAGAGAAAGATAAAGACAGAAATGCATGAATGTACGTGTGTGTGTGTGTGTGTGTGAATGGGTGAATGGACTAGAAGCTCTGTATAAATACATACTATTTTCCACCCACTACTACTAATAATAATATAATATGGAATGAAAACTGAAAATATGGACAGAGCAACAAAGCATTAGTTGTAATGATGGACAAACTAAATTTATTGTCAACATCTGACCTTATTCCTGAGGGCATCTTGTGGAGCTGTCCCTTCACGTACAGAAATCTGTTCTTGGAGGCAACGTGACTGGAGGTGACTGGAAGAATCTCCCCCGCAAGACCCAGGTCATCCATCTACACACAAACACGCACACACAGAGTTTGGGACATGTTTACATTAGAACAGTTTTCCAAGGTCCTGTATGTTTGAGAATTGTTCAGTTCAATCACTTCTGAGATGCTGAGACAGGCTGACTGAAACTGAAACAGTTTCTCTGCAGAACAGGCAGAGAAACCTTTAGACGGACTGGATGAGTTGAAGACTTATTTATCTCCTACTTTATTCATGTGGATTTTATTCTTTAACAATGGGTCCTCCAGTTCACTTTTGTGTTTTATTCACCTTTTTCACTTGTGTGGTTGAGCACTCTGGTCCCCATCAGGATTTTGATTTACCCCAAGTTCCCCAAAGGTGTCATCAATATCAAGCAGCCCACTTCAGAGTTCCTACTTTCTTACCCTTACATTCTTTTCTTTTTCAGATCAGAAGGAGACTTTCCTAAACCTGTGCTGTTGATTTTAAAGTCTGAGTTTCCAGTCTAAGATAAACTTAATTTCTGTGGTAGAACTTACCATGTTGAGCGTGTTGCGTCCAACCGCCCCAGCAGGTCGAATCCCTCTAGGTCCATGTTCAAACACGGCTCCATCCGCCCTCCTGGTGGACCACAGCCAACCTCCAAAACGGCTGCTGGCCTCCACTAGTATGACCTGGAGACAAAGAAGAGACAGACTGCTCAGATACGACAACCAAAAGGTTCAAACAAACATGATGAAGACTCATTGAGATGAATCAAAGTGCAGGGCAGCATTTCAAGAGGACTCCTGCACAGGGAAATAAAGGAAATAAAAACAATAAGCAGCCACACCTACACGTGCTGCATAAAACTGCTCACATGTCTCTTTTCTATAAACCTTTATTTCTTATATGTGCTGTCAATTGTTATTATGATTATAGACATTATTATACTCAAGGGAGGTGGCTGGGGGAGATATACCCCATATCTGAGATAAAGTGTTTATCATTGTGATAATAACAAACAACAACATGGTCACAGTGGTCACAACTGAAGATCATGTGGTGTGTGTGTGTGTGTGGTGTGTGTGTGCATGTTTGTTTGTTTGTGTTACCTTGGTAACCTGGGGGCTCTTGCAAAGGTAGTAAGACGCTGCCAACCCCCCTATCCCCCCTCCAAGGACTGCTACAGTTGTCATTGGCGTGCAGTGACCCACTGACAGAGTGAGGGGAGGTGAGGAGACAGCAGGTGAATATGCAGCTGAGACAGGGTGTGTCTGCTCAGGAGGCCTGTGGATGGTGATATGACAAACTGTTAGTTTATCAGTCAGCCCAACACAGACTGAAGGACTTCCAGGACTTGCTTGTATAATCAACTCAATGGCTGTGTTTCATATGACATATTATCTCCTCTATCCTTCTTTGTCAACACCTAATTCCACTGTGATCCTCCTCACTGAAATACAGCTTTACATTACTCAGCCAGCAGAGCTAATACAATAATATTTGGGAGTGAAACAAAATATCAGTAGGGCTATATATTGTCGCCTGACTCAAGATATACAGTTATTGATATGCTGCCTCTAATTAGTTATATATATATATTAAGATCAAGATTCCTCTTTATGGTCCCACACACAGCATGCAACATGCTATATACTATATACATATAGTTTGGACGTTTGCCTGTTTATGGTTGTGGAGATGACAAAGTTACTGTATGTTTGTTTCAGATTAGAGAGACTTTGTGTGTTTGTGTCTGTGAAACTAAATTGCAGTGAATAATAACACAAACCCTGCAACCTATTTAAGGGCATATGGTATTTTTCTTCAGGCAGAGAGATATCGTGATGAATCCTTATATGATTATTATATCAGAATCACTGAGAGACACTGAGAGACACACAGAGAGACAC